CAGTGTTCTACCTGCTCCGGTCCCTTTGTTCATCGTCGCCGGAGGGTCGGCGAAACCTACCCCTCCAGACCCCACCCCCTTCCACGGCAGGCGGCGGTGCGGCCGTGGCTCCGGCGGTGGCTGTGTCGGAAGGGCTCTGCTGCTTGAAGGAAACGCGCCGCGGTCGCGCCGTGTGAAGGCGCCCTTAGGGCCGGCTAGGATCAGTACCGGCACTAGGCACGCACAGACCGGGCAATCTCCCGAGGCCCTGGATGTCAAGTGGCCCGATGATGGAAGTAATGGCAAACAATTATTGAAAAATTGAAAATAAATTGTCTGGTATTTCATATACTCTAATTCTAATATCTACATTCTAATATCACCGTGGAAATGGTACTATTTGATCACTAAATACAATCCCATCTTTAATTTTCACATATTTTTAATTTTTTCGAGAAGGGGGGGCTAAGTTTTAGCATTGACCCGAGCCTAAAAATGTGTCTAGCTCCGGCCATGCAGGCGCTCAGAGCCCCTGAAGTGGCAACAGCCGGCCGGGCCGAGCTGGGCCGAGGCGAGCGAGCGCTGCGCCATCTGCGTCATCGTTCGGCGGTTGGTCAGAGGCGGGGCGCGCGCGGTCATTCGCCGGACGCCGCCGACAGAGTGAAGAGCTCCGCGATGACCACCGATGAGATCCTCTACTTCTGCATCACCTTCCTCTGCAACCTGGGCGTGTTCGCGTTCTGGCACTACGTGTACTCCCTCTACTACGTCTACTGCATGCGCCAACGCCGCAGGGACGACGAGGAGCGCGAGCGGCCCGAAGGAGAGCAGCGGAAGTAAAAAGGTACGGTCCGAGACCCTCCCAACACTCCAATGGGCTGGTTAGGGAAAGCAACTGCGATGGATTACGTTGAACACTATGTAATTGGCTGTCCGGGTGACGCCGCGTTCGTGGCAAAGGTGCCAACGTTTCGGTCGCCATTCTGTGACCATCCTCAGGGCGTAATGTGCATTACGCCCGAAGGAAGGTCGCAAAATGGTGACCGAAACATCGGCACCTTTTCCATGGACGCGGCGTCACCCGGACAGCCAATTAAATACTGACTCCGGCCGTGGAAGCCTACACTCTTATCCTACGTGAAATACCTTGTGCCCACCCGTTGAGATGACTCAGACCCACAACTATTAGAATCGCTCGGCTCTGCTCTGCTCGACCGGTTGAGATGGCTTAGGGGAAACAGCTGTTTACACTGCAATGTCTCTCGCCGAGTCTAGTTTCGAATCGACCTGTGGTGAATTTTCGATTCTAACTACAGAGCTAGGCCTAGTTCATCCGCTGTTTGGAAGAGAATTGCAGAGACCGCCTGTTTAGATCGGTAGCATTCCGAAGTTTCTCCGATCAACGTCAGGCGAAGGCCAGAGCAGTACCATAACAAACGGGTCATTGATCGTGGGCAATATTTCTTTCATCATCCTAGTCCACTGTTCTCTCTTTACACACACATACACACACAATCACTGCACTACACAAATATAGGGAGACGAGACAGGATCTTAGAGATTATCCTTTCTGAGGTAGTGTTGTGATGTGGGAGATACCTCGAGAGAGGAAAGTTCCACAAGTCAACGTGAAGGTCAGCGCCGGATCTCATATTCCATCAAAGAAGAATCAATAGCAATTCTCGAAATATAACCTACATTACAGTTACGAGGCAAGTGACCACAGTAGTTGAAGCACTCGGAAATATTTATCAAGTAATAAATCAATTTTGCGCACGCTGCAAAGTTCGAAAGGTTACTAGGAATCAGATATTACGTATTCATCATGCCAAAATGGGACGGTCAATATATTTATGGACATATTACACAACTAAATATTCATTGAATTTAACTTACATTACAACTTAGTAATTTTTGAATCGTTGCTTCTTGTTTTGCACACTTTCAAATGTAAGTTGCCAAAGAAATACGATTATTTATGTAAAGACCAACAAGCAAAGCGAAAATTATGTCATCCTCTCTTCAACATTTTTAAGGTTAGGCATACATTTTAAACAAAAACCAAACATTTGAGATGGAGTATGAAATACATCGTAATTTACAACCGTCTTCCATAACTGTTTTTTCCACATAACACAAAATAACAAAACATATAAGCAGACTAGTAGCGCTACATTGTCGCTACAGCAGACACTTTCTTATGTATAGTTAAAGCAATTTTTGACGCAAAAGTACGTCAAAAAACTCATATTTTCGAAAAAATTGAACATGACCTTATATGAAGATGATGAACACATCTTTATACTATGTTCATAATTGTAGATGAATGTTCATAATTGTAGATGTAGGAAGACGTCGAACTAATTTTGAATTTTTACAATTTTAAAAATATCAAAGATTTCAATGAAAATTAGACCTGTATCATTCTCTTATGTGTCCTTTACGCTCACCGACAACAGAATTTTAAAAAAAATTGGTGCCTTTTTGTTCAAAATGTCCCAGTAGCTTCATATAATTCATATACTCACCAAAATTAAATTCTCTCTTTCAAATTTAAGAGACCGTGACATCAGTCAGGTTGATTGTAGAATATCAATTTTCGTGAAATTCGTGTTTACAATTTGGCCGCTAACGTTCACTCAGACGGCATTGTTGGTCCTTGTTACCAATTTTTCGGTACTAAAGAAATACCAAAGAAACTACCAAACTAAATACCAAAGAAAATTATTTATACATTAACTGGTGATAATACTGAAAAATACAGTTCTAGTTTAATCTAAGAAAGTCATTAATTTCGTTTACTCGAACAAATAACAAGAACCTGGGAGTAGCTGGGAGACGACCCGTTTTTGAAGAATTTCTTCCACACAGACAAATCCCTGACAGTCACCCAATTTTCATTATTTTCCAGTATGTCCGATAAGAACAAAGTTCTTTAATCCATTGTTGATAAAAAAATACTTTTTAAAACATTTTCGAAAAGTTACCACACAAACGCAAGTCATACGTAAAATCTATAGTCAGGATGTGCACACCATTGGCGAATCAGGTAGAGGGATGATATTCTGTATTAAAATAGAATACACTCACAATATCGTGAAACCTAATGCTGAAGCTTCTATTACACAAACAGATGAGATTATGAATAAAAAAGCCATGAGATTAATATGAATCTAGCCATCAGCCGATCCGGATTGCCGAGATCGCTAAGGCAGTAGTGCCGTGGCGATCTCAGGAGGAACTGTTGGGGACTGTCTCGGGCATGGGTGTGTTTGCGTATGTCTGTATGTGTGTGCCGTCAATGCATACTTCAGTATCAGCATCATTCCATCTTCCATCCTGCCAGAACTAGCATCCCTGTGGGATAAAAATTAGATTCAGCATAATGCTGATTCTACCTCCCCCCCCAAAAAAAGAGAGTCACATCCACTTGCTACGGGATAAATGTTAGTCTCGGTAAGTGCAGACGTATGTCCACGTAGTCCTAGATGGTCAATTCGCGACCCCCATCCCCAAATAATCTTGAAATCAATAAAATATTCCCGAAAAGAGCCGTTGTGCACAGTCTAGCGCCAAAAATGTGTCTCTTTTTCCACTACTAACTCCTGAGTGTGCGGATGTCCGATCCCGTCACTCGCGGCTAGACCACTTCCTATGCACCAATCGAGACATACGAGGTGTGTTCGACGCGTCTCGGTCTCCTGATAAGGGGCTGTTAATTTGTTTTTGGATCCTGCCAGATGATTCAAAGAAATTTCCAAAAAAACGTGTGTTTGCGTGTTTTGGCGCTGCTCTTAGTGAGTACGCCGAGAATTAAACCAACGACTCCTAAATAGATATATGTAGGTGGCGTTAATTAAAATTCAATACCCAAAAATTGAAGGGAAATTGAAGGGTTCAGCATAACAAGGGGCTATCCGACAATGATATGGTTCTGAGATATTAAGAGTTTGATGCGAACTTGCCTCATGAACGTAACTTAATACATTTTGAAACTTACTGTACTCTACAAACACCTGTATAGCTGTAGCTTAAGAAACAAGCATGGACCTTGCGCGATATTTCCTTCCTCTTCCTTGTCCTATCCTCACCTCCTACACTAAAGTGCACCACATTACCACGCATGCCGAGAGATCGGCCGGGCGCTTAGAGCTTGTTCCGGCTAGGATAGTGGGAGATACCCGGTTGGGGAAAACCCAACTAGCCGACGGTAGGTCAGCGCTAGACCTCGTCATCCAGCGGGGAAAATACCACTGCCACCTCCGGATCAAAGCATGCACTACACGGCACTTGGCAGGTAATAAACTTGGTAGTTGACGTTCCCGTTATCATAAACAATCAATCAATCAGAATATGGGATAATATCATCAGTTTCAAGATATAATACTAATTCAAGATATAAAAACTATTTCGATAAAAAATGGTTGTTAATTAAATTTATACCTCAAAAAAAGTGTTCGATTTAGTAGGTATCACTGTAATACATTTTGGCACACAAATTTTAAACACTGAAGCGCAGAAAAGAAAAAGTTGGCTCATCAAACCCTGTAAACACTCGAGATGAGTCTTACTAGTCGAAGGAAGTAATTTGTTTACGGCAGAAGAACTTGCATTGTCTTTTAGACGAAGCACTGAGTCACTGCTGGAAACGTGCCCATCACATGCATTCCTTTATCTCAAATTACTAAACGTGTTTCGGATCGGAAAAAAAACAACATTTTCCGCCATCTACGCAGCAATCAACCCGAAACCGGAGAGTAATCGAACACTCGGATCGTCATCGGCGCACGCCACGGGAGTCGCATTTCTTATTACCCCGCCTTGAGCGCCTGTGTTTCGTTTCCTGCCACGGCCACGCCTAGAGCCTCTGTCTGAATGATTAGTCATTACCAGCGAATGGCTTTGCCGTAATCGGGGAGGAGGGATATTTGTTTTTCCGCTTGCACTTGTTGGGAAGAAGGGCCATTCCGTCGCGAGTCGTCGTACCGAGCGGTTCCGTGCTCTGTCGCTCGGTAAGTGCGATGCGGTCCACCGCTGTGAACCTGGCCGAGGGAGTCTTGCTCGTGGCCGTGGTTGTGTCCCTCGTGTGCCTGTTGCTCCGTTGGCTGTGGCACCTGTCGTTCCGCAACCGCGACGATGACAACCGTGAGTATCGGGACATGGTGCGCCGCAGGATTGTCCGCCGCTGCCGTCGCTTGCAGCAGATGTGAGTACCCCGCCCCTCAACCCCTCCCTTCCCACGCAGTAAATAAGCGCGCACTTGTGCTTCGGGGGCGTCTTCTTCCGATTAATATCCATTTCTTCCTTTCCTCCTCTCTTATTCACCTTCGCCTTTTCTCTTTCGTCTATTTCTTCATCTTCGTCTCCTCAACCTCCGGTTCCAACGCCTCCTACGTCCTCTCTTTGCCTTTTTCACTTTCCCTTTCCCGTCTTTTTTCATCTTCTTCCTTCATTTTTCTCCCTTCTCCTGTTTTCTCTCCTTCCGCTCCATTCCTTCCTCTCGGCTTTCTTTCTTGTCTTTCCTCCCTTTTGTATATTTTTCTTACTCTTTTTTTGCTTCTTGTCCTCATCTGTCTCCTCGTTCCTAACATTCTAGTAAACTTTCTTCCCTTTTCATTCCTCTATTTATCCTTCATTCTATTTCTCCTTTGGTTCCCATTTTCTCCTTCTATTTCCTCTTCTTCTTGTCATTATCATTCCTATTTTCTCTATCCTTTTCCTCGTTCTTCTTGTCTGCTACATCTCTTCCTTCTTTCCTTTCTATTCTCCTTCCCCGTCACCTTTCAATTCTTCTTTTTTCTCTGATTCGCATCTTTCTGTTCACCTTTCTGTTTCGCATCTTTCTGTTTCATTTCAGATAACATGTTCTACGCGAAGAAATTGAGTACGCTTCACTGAAAAAAGCGATCATGACAGTGACTGTAAACGATCTTTATAAGACGCCAGATCGACAATTTGTAAAAAACAACAAATCAAGAAAATATACTAAACTATTTTTAATTTTTTTAAATATTATATGACATTATTTTATCGCAGTACTTTTATTAAAGATGTAATGATGGTTTGAGAATTTTACAAAAAACAAAACATTAAAAAAAACACCCAGTAAACCCACGTACCATAGATCTCTATGAATCTCACCCAAATTCTTTATTTCAGAAACAAATGCTTCTACAGCATTACGACCACTGCGACAGAGAGTGGGCCTGAAGTAATACCCTGAATACTCTTATGTCATTTCTTTACTCTCTGGAGATTTATCAGCATATGCTCGGAAATATTCTCCATCGCGAGTGTGGTGTGTCTATCTTGGGCATTCGCTAAAAAAGAGTACATAGTCAACGCATTCTTGGAAGTGTACTCTTTGTCCCACTGAGAGTTTCGTCTGGTATTCTGGATATCATTAGGGAAATGTGTGCTGGGCGTATTATTACTGATGCAGCAGTGAAACAGTTATTAATATGATGCTTGACGTTGATGAATGCAAATGTTATATGATCTCATTATGCTAAGTAGAATCGTTTATTTTTATGATTGGTATCATACCTATTGATAACTTTTACGCCATAAATTAATAAAATTAATACAGTGTGATTTCAAAACAATTTCCAAAGAGCCTCTTACAATATGTATTGAAATAAATCACCAACCCTATTTGTATGGATGTAAACGGTTTAAATGTCGAGTCTTGTACTCATTGTAGAGATTGACAGAGATGCGGTTAATAATTTTGCTGGCATTTTGCGCTTATTGCAAATCTACGTGTTTTAAAGTTACCACTACTCGTTTGCTTTCTGTTTTAATTAGGATATTGTAATAATTATTTCCAGTAACTTTTATCAATTGGGATTAATATTCCGATATACACAAGTATAAGAATTTAAAAGGAGAAATACATGGTCAAGAAAAATCGTAAGGGTGACAATCGAGACAATTAAACGCTTCGTTCAGTGGAAGTATTTAACTATTCTGAGATCAAGTTAAATAATTTCTTATTCTGGATATCGTATGGAATATTCATGATTCTTTAAAATACTTTAGACTGATATAAATTATAATTACTTAGTTATACGCAGTATACATATCAGAGCTGAACAGTTCAGCCAGTTTTTTGGTTAGTTAGGGTTTCGCACGCCTAAAACTAGTGATTCCAGTAGAAAAACTGCAGATAACGGCTACTAAATAAAACGTATTTGTTGGTGAAATCGAATTTATTAAGAGATGATTTAAACTTCAAACATAATTCCATGTTGCTTCTTAACCTCGTGGTCTTATATTCCTATAATTTCGAAGCTAATCAATTAAATAACTTGTAACATTACATAGATCCAAAGTTTTAATCACTTATTTAACGTGTATCAGGACACATTTGATTTGCACCAACTAAATTTAGAACCGATTCCACATTATACATACTATTTAGTTGGGTGTCAAAGGGGGCAAAGGAACTATTTTGCAATAATAAATAAAAAGTTATTATTACTTTTCCAAAAAAACTCGAAAGGTAAGATGCAAAGGTACTCAAGACTACAATGTAATTACATTATTACCTTCGTTAAACACATGTTATTTCAAAGTCTCAGAATTATTTTTATATGCAAAAGGAGGAGATGGTTATTCAGCACGATAAGGGAAGATTGTAGAGGGAACAGTTATAGATTATGTACTACACTCCACTTTCAAGACAATAAATTTTTGTACTGGGTAAAGAATTATTTGATTAAAATTGCTGTTATAACCCTTTTTTCCTTATCTAACTGCTCAAAACAGATTTCTCTGACAAGGGAAACCTCAGCACAAAGAAAGACATGTTTTATGTGAACTGCTGTTGCTTCAGAATGGCCCAGACTTTCTCGTACTCCTAGTTAATTTTCTAATCTCTTGAGTCTAGAATAGTTTCCCTATATTTTCTCACTCTTTTCCCAGCTAATATCTACCTACTATCTATTCTTAACTTTTTGTTCCTTTAATACTAAAATTGAAATGTCTTTAAGAATATTATAGAAGGATAAAATTTGGCACAACATGCAAATTTACATTTAACTAGCGGTGCTACAGAATGGCACAGACTTCCCGTATTATTTTTCTATTTCCTATGGTCTCGGCTAGTTATTCTAACTTGCTACTTATTCTTGCCTGCTGACATCTATTGCCGCCCAAAATTCATTTATTTGAAATGTTCGTAATTTGTTGGTTTACTAATAGTATAACGGAAATATTATTTTAAGAATATTAAAAACAACCCGTCCTAAATGACAATTTTCTTTGAAAAATTTGCAGCCGTTTTTAATACAATGGCGCTTAAGCCCTACAGTTTATTCGAAATTTGAAGTACTTTTTCACAGAAAAGTTATGAGTTTTCGAAAAACTTCATTAGAAGCACTTTAAAACACATTAACTCACAAAAACAATAGTTCTTACAAATTGCTGAAGTGTGCATATTAACGGCGTGAGAGACATTTAAAAAAAGTTTGTGTATTTAAAAAACAACAACAAAGATATATACTGAAATGAACTTCGTCATATTAAAGAGTAAAATTAGCACTGTTCGAAAAGTTGACAGAAAAAAATTGAAGCCGTTTATTGAGCTAAAGACGTTTGAGCATTTCTGAAATTGCAAAATTTTGAGCTAGTTTAGAAAGGAAGACGTTGAGTTATTGAAAAGCTTTATGTGACATTTAAAGCGCATGCACTCATAAACATAATAATGTGAGCAAATTGCTCCTCATGTAAATATTAAGAACGTACAAGAAAAGTAAAAAAAATATATTTTTCTAATGTTTGAAAAAACGAAATAATATGACGATTATGTAATTTTATAGAGAGCATTTAGCACAATCCCTACCTAAAGTTTGAAGAATAAATTTGGAGCTTTTTTTTTTTAAAAATCGCGTTATTGTCATATTTTAAAATTGCACGCAATATTGCGCGAAAATGACTAACATTTTGAAAGAAATGTAAATGCCCTTAATGAATGCAAAATTATGGACACCAAATTTTATTTGAAGAAAAAATATCTACCTTTAATTTTGTTCTTGCAGGAAGGTCCCGAAAAAATAAACTTTTGAAATTTTTAAAAATTCAGAGTTAACCGTGAAAAATCAGACCTATGCACATTCAAAAATTTATTTTACTTTATTCTTATAAGGAATTTATACAAAATCTTTGGATCCATTATTGAGAAAATGTTTAAAATGTCCCAGGGGCTTCATGTAAAAAAAACAACAAAAACTAATGAATGATTTTCAAAATCGCAGAGTTTTGACTCAGGCCACTGGACAGTCTTCAATTTGAAAAAAAACTCTTCTTATGGTTTAGGCGCCCCTAGTGTTGTTCACATACAACGAACGGACGGACGGAGGAAGGACGTTTTGAAAAAACACTTTTTCGGTATCAGGGAAGCCCAAAACTTGCATTTCCGCTGAAATCTCGAAATCGGTTTTCCGCAGCATTACATAACTTTCCCTATACTACGAATATAACTCCGTATCGACGTATACGAGAAAGTAAAAATTCAGAGCTGTTCAGGAAAAAATGTCGCTTGAGCGATTCTGAAAATGGGCAATTTTGAGCCCGTTTATACAGAAAACGAGAAAACTTGCGAGTTTTCCAGAAACTTCATTAAAAATCGTTTGAATAAACGTGTGCTCACAAATACAATAATTCATAAAAATGTTTGTTTTAATGTCCGTATTATGCAATAACGCACAATAATGTCAATGTTAAAGACATGAGAGATATTTCGAAACAATTCTTTAATTTTTCAAAAAATTATAGAATCATATTTGATATATTTGTCATGTTATTCAGTGCATTTAGCAAAATCCGCACAAAAAAGTTTAAAGAAAATAATTGGACCAGTTTTGAGAAAATGCCATTCGGTTAGTACAAATTTTCTTTCTTAAATAAACAGTTCAGTATGCATTTAGAATATCATATTATATTTGTGTTATTTTTGTACCGAATTTTGCACCGAAATAATTTTCAAGCAAACAATGAGTACAAATCATGCTTTCTTCAATTTCTTCAAAATAACTCAATATCCATCCATTTTTTCTTAATAATGGTCCTATATGAAGTGAAAGAAGATAAAATTACCTACATTTAATCAGCTTAATCTTTTATCCTTCAATAAACGGTTTAGCCGAATGAGCAAATTTGATGTTATAAGTAAAATACATTAAAAACGGGAATATTCCAGGTATCTCAGTATAATTTTGAAAGTTATTATTTTTCGTATAGATTAACCTGTTATAAAGTGAAATAGTGATAAAATTATCTGCATTTTGTGTGCGAAGTTTTTTCTAGAATCAATGGTATCGTTAGTGTGCATTGATGTTGCTGTGAAAATTGCACTCCATTTGATCTCCCTCACTAATTAACTCTTTTATGTAACTTACAGTAGTGGGGGATACTGACCGTCATATGCCTCTCATATATCTTCCAGGCGAATATGTTTTGTTTTGAAAAGCTTCCAGTCTCACATTCAGCTGTTGGAATTAATCTGCTAAAGGAGTGTTCCTTTGTTTTGCCAGTATATGAGGCCTAGAATGATACAAATTTTTTCCCACCAATCGTCTCGTGTATTTCTTTCCAGGGGCATTATGATGGTGCACATGTACATCGTGGTGGAGGTGATCACTTGGAACCCGGGGGAGAGGAATCGGCGGCAGACTTTCGTGACGCCCGTCCTGACGGCCATCGACCTGTTTCTCCTGGACGTGCTGCCCGCCCTGCGCAGACGGTGGTCCATCACCATGGTGCACGTGGTGTCCTTCGCGTTAATGTTCTTCGTTTTCGCGGGACTGGTGTGCTTGGATTGGTACGTCATCCAACGCTCGATGCGCCGCCGGCTGCCGCAGCGCATGCGAGACACCAACTTCTAAGCAAGGTAATGTGGCCAGGTGCGTTTGGATGGGTTGACACTTTGTGTACTGTGAGCTCCTAGGATCCATTGCAGATGGGGAATATTTGATATCAGTTAACGTGCCAGATAGGACGATCCTGCTGCCAGGAAGAGTGTTCTACTAGATTCCGACTGCTCTGATAAGTCATTTTCCTGAATTTCAATTAAGGCTTATTTATTGTGGTAAGGCTCTGACCAGAGCTCTCTTCCGCTCGACAGCGCAAATTTTGTACAACTTCTTTCACCATATAGAAGCGAAAGAATCATTCGGAAGAGGAAACATGCGATTAGAATTTATCTCAAAAATTCCTTTTACTTTCAGTAAATCTACATCATGTGACGGCCGAATGTACTTCCCCTCAGAAGGGAGTCGTACAAATATTTTTTTCTCGCTTTAAAATTCAAGGCCTCGATCGGGTTCGAACCCGCAAACTTGGGTGTAACAGTCCGATACGCTAAACGCTACACCTCAGGAGCTAAAGTTTCGTAGTCGTCTACCTATTGCAGGCGCATGGCAAAGCAGTTCCTTAAATAAAGGTTCGCTGACAAACCATTCGATCTCACCCTTAACGCAACGCAATTCTTGATTCCCAAGACCTGTTCCCCTCAATATCCAAAGAGACTTCAGCTGCGCTGTGAGTACGCTGATGTCGAGCTACTACCGAAAATGGGCTTCGGACCCAACGAAAAGTCAACGTAGTGGTGCTACACAACAGCACGCAATTTATCGAAAAGACATATGTAATATTAAAATATTACTTCTTATGTCCTAGAAACATAATAGTGGTCACTTGCACCGCGAGCTGTGGTTCATGTCATCAGTTGAGGTCATTGCAGTGCCTCTGACTGGGAGGTTCTTGGGTTCGAGTACCGATGGTTGCCGGATTTTCTATGCTAACTAGCTAGGTCGAGTTATGTTGCTGTCTGGAGGAGACGTCTAGCGACTGGCTGCTTTAATTAGTAGTTTTTCGTGATTTCTCCCATCATCAGCAGGCGAATGCCGGAGCAGTGCCGTACAACACGGATTACGGAATTCGCGCGATCTTTACCTTCCATTCCTGTCTTACCCCTTACACACATACTTTAACTATCATGCATTACACTAATAGTCATGTCGAGGGACCGGTCAGGAACTTAGAGTTTGTCCCAGGTGGTGCGGTGCCCCGCTGTTGGAGGATACCTGGTTGTGCAACACCCTTGTAGCCGACGGTACGTTGGCGCCGGATCTCGCCTTCTGGTAGGGATAGATCACCGCCACTTCGCGGGCAAAAATCATCACTACACTTCCGGGACTAATGACCTTAGCAGGTTATGATCTGGTTATCAATTATTGTACGAGTTTGTGTAAATGGATGAACTTAAATTGTAGTACATATTTCATAATACATAACGGAGTAACAGACACTTGAAAATGTCAGAAACCAGTTCTCTCTTTTTCTTGCCTTCTTTCTTTCTTTTTCTTTCCTTCTTTCTTCCTTTTTCTTTTCTTCTTTCTTTCTTTCTTTTTCTTTCTTTCTTTCTTCACTAAATAAGTTTATCATAAAAAGTGAATCATGGAAAATTTGGAACTTCCACTTCCATGTTTTCCCGTCCCGTAAAAAGGATAGAAAATTTATTTTCTAATGAATAGAATGACAACACGCAACTACGCCTTCAAAAAAAGATGCACAGATGACTATTAATTAACACAGAAAATGAAATAAGCATGAAACCTCCGAATTCTAAAACATCTTAACGTCTTTATCGTACGGAATCACAGCAAATGAGTCACAGCATGACTCAAACCGCATTCTCTCAGGTTTGTTCTATGTGAATTGTTCTTATCTTATTTTTAAACCGGCCGGGAACAATCATCTATAGAATTCCAGGGAGTGGCTCTGGTTTCCCCTGCCATTTCGCGGTCACAAGTGTAAGCAAGTGTCAGTGCATCGACGAGTTTTGGATGATGGAGTTGGAGACGGAATCGGAGATTACGTTTTTCGTACTGCTTCTCGTCATCGTGTGGTGGTTCAAAATCTTGGGGCTCTTAGAGCCTCTGGAACCTCCTGAGGAACGTCTGGGACCCCAGGAATTCCTAGAGCCCCCTTTTGAGCCCGAAGAGGAGTACCACATGGAAGCGACGCCACGCCAGAGGGGATGGGGGTAATGTTAGATATGACCACAATAAAATTGATGTTTAGGTAGTGTGTGAGATGCATCACAGCCATGAATATAAACTACGTGGTAGGAGTCTAGGATACGAAGTTAAAGATTGGTCTGCGATATTGTCTACATGCCAATTCAAAAGTGTCCAATTCAAAAGTGAGTCGTTTTTATATTCAGTAATACCTGATGAATGATACACCAAATCATCGACAAATCTTCCCTTTACGTACTTGCACCATTGCTTACAGCTCTTTTCTAATATCAAATATTAAATATTAGTTCTTGTGTCACAATGTTCTACGCCACAATGTTCCTCTTATATTTGTTCCTCGAATGATAGTCCATACTGTAACCGAACAACGTGCCTCGTCCGTTTACAAGTGTGTCACTGCAGGGACAGCGCTAGCGGTCCACCTGTCGATTTTTGGTTTCGACGTAGAATTTTTGGTTTCGAGGCATGTTCTGTGGAACGAGAGAACTAGGCTACTTTTATCGTCATGATACGAATCCCTACACAAGTGGATAGTGAGAGACGTCTGTGTGCACGAGAGACGTAATAACGTGTCGGAAAGTGTCGGAAAGACATAATAACGTGTCTTTCTTTGTTGCTCAGTGACCGCTCTGTTTTGAAGTTAAGAGAGGATTATGCACGTGTTAAGAACTGCTGGTGGTGTTTGAAGAGGATAAAATGACTCAACAAGAGCTCCAATATGCCGTTAACAAGACTCCTTTAGTGGATCTAGTTTGCTAGACTACAGGTGTTCGCGCAAAGGGGCCAAATATTACAACTGGTTTCACCATGGTTGCGAGTGAAGGTTTCTTATTTGTCACTATTTGTTTCCCTTCTTGTATCATAACTCATTAATATTGTGTGGTACCATAACGTATGTATGAAAAGAGATGTAGGCCTTTTTGATAAGATAATGTAATGAGTAATTTATTCAGAATCTTGCGGGCTTTGGATGATACTTTAAATATGTTGGAACTCTATAGTTATAGATTGTATCAGTGTCAGAAAGAGTTTGTGTTAATTTGTTTATGTATATTGTAAGTAGGTTTAAAGGCTTGTGAAGTTTATGTTTCCGTTTAGCTTGTCTAATTGCAGTGTTCATGTACATTTTGGGGTAGTTAGTGGTGTGTTATTTGCATTAGTATGGTGAAAGTAAGAAATTCTAACACAGATATTTTTCAACATATTTAAATTCAATTCATTGGTTTGAAGGTAATTACATTTCTGCTTTAAATAAGGCATTCAAATGGGAAAGTTTTATTCCTACTGATGAATTACTCTTACATTGAGTGTTGTTTGGTTAGCAAGTTTTTGTTTTCTAGTGAAAAAGAGTTCATTTTTTTCTTTTTTGGTTCAAGTATATTATTGGTCTAACGGTTTAAGTGTATATTTTTGTGATGATGATGATGATGATGGTGATATCCAAATAACTGGCTAATATATCACTTCAATGACAAATGAATGGTTACGCTCGTTATTGTCTACAAAGAGGTTCCGATACCCACGTCCAGAATATTTACCCCTGAGATAAACCAAATTTCAGGTTTTAATACTTAAGAATTATTCTGTTATGGGTTTTTTCTTTGGCTGACAACGTCCACCTGCAATAACATGCATCGTTTTAAAAATTATTTCCTACAAATAATTCTCTTTTGCTTCTTTTAATAAATTATTTTGCCATTTATATTAAGAATAATTTCCGTGGCCTTTTCAGAAGGGTCGACAGAGGTACGAAATTATATTTATATAAATAATAATGTGTTTCTCATTTTAATTTTGTTTTGTTTAGAAATCCTATTACAGTTACTTCCCGAAAATGACTCTGTCTTCCGATCTGTTACTTATATGTTCAGTTGAATCTATATAAATTGTATTATTTGTTTAAAAATAATATTATGAAAATTTGTAGGCAAAATATAAGCTGGATCTAATGTACAAACGTTTTGTGATTAGCTTCTCTTAGTAATGGCAAAAATATTACCGAGTTTCCTTGAACGTTTCCAGTATATTAATTTCCATCCTTCGAGACCGTTCAGAGGTTTACAAGGTCACATATCTGCAAACGAAACTGCGAGAAGCATAATCCGTATGCATTTCTAATGGTAATCAGGAAATTATTTGCCGCATGAATTGTGAATCAATGTTATGACGACAAAACATGATAGAACATTGGGCTGGTGAGAAGGAATGCTCATTTTCATTACCTTAGCAACAACGGAGAACGTATTCTATATGTGCAGTGAGAAAACGACTATTACGGAACGAAATATAACTACAACAGAAAAGCCTACGACAAAAATGCTTACTCGGGTACAAAAGAACATCATTATCCTATGGCAGTAGAAATTCTTGTTGGAAGCATAATTTCAAACTGCTGACAAGTAATGAATAAATTCAATATTTTCTTGAACAACAGTTATAGGTATAAAACGCTTTCAGTATGCGACATTTTATTAACAATAGAGTATGCAGGGTTGTCTTTCATGTAGCCGTCTAAATCACACTACATTGGTTCTCACTCAAGATACTCTGAAAATAAAAGTTCGAACATTCGAGGATTTTTGATAATTTCCAAAAGCCTTAGATCGTGTTCAGTGTTTGTTATTCAATTGTATACCGTAGTTATAGTTTTAACTAAACTCCATTTTCAACAGATTAAATTAATTATATGTACACATAGTGGCATTAATACGATGCAAATATTTACAAAAAATTTTGTAATTTAATGTTTTGCATATTTCTTCTTGAATTGTAATAGAATGAATACCAAGGGGAAATTACTAAAAACCACATCTGTCGGAAGGTATGAAATTTCTTCGCCGCTAACTGATATACTTTTGAATTACATAGTGTACCATTACATTCGATTCAAAACACCAAGAAGGATGTATAAAAAATAATACTTTTGAATGTAGCTGGAGAAAGTCCATCACTTTCACCAATAACAATAGTATTTACTGTATAATACAATAGGTGAATCAAGTTACAGATCATGCTATTCAATTACTTGATTCAACAATTCTTTGTTCTTCGAGCACACAGACCATGAGCGTTGTATTTCATATCCGTTCAAAAAGAAAAAAAAGTGATAAGCAAATCGAGTTAAACAATAGGAAAGCGCCGGAGAAATAAACTTCACGACGCGCCTTCCAAACACACGGCAACCTTGAGAACAGGCACGTACGGTGCGCGAAGTGTTGCGCCGCGCGATCACGAACGCACGCAGTGCGAACGCGGCTGCAAGAGCCGTCGACAGCCCGGCGATGCCCAGGCGTTCCCCAGGGCTCCTCGAGCCGGCGGCAGACCCGATGAGGATGCACGTCGTAGCCCTGCTGTTCACCTACGCGGTGTGCTTCCTCATTATTATGCTGTACACGTTCGGGAAATACCTCGGCCCGCCGAAGGACCCCTACGTCCTCCGGCGATGGAGGGCGGGCAGGCGATACTTCTGGTCTGAGGAGGAGTGAGTACGTAGCAGCGAGTGCATGTATTCCTTTGTTAAGCATCGCGTGTGAAAAATTCCGGGAAATGTGAGGAACATAGTGACATATATTTACGAGTAATCAATTCAGGTGTCAAAAACTTTTTAAGAGTGACAAACTCTTGTTCTTAAACCTCGATAATATATGCATATCTGCATACATTGGTGATCTGCTCTATTTGTATCATTAAATTATCTGTTCCAAATAGGCGTATTCGAACAATTTTAGTAACTGTTTTTAGTTCTAAAGTTACATTTAATTAGTTTGCCCATGTTTGTCTAACCAACAAACACAAGTTCGCAATTGAGGGCTTGCAAAGCTAAATTGGAAGTACCATAATTTTCAAAACAAAGGTTTTATCATCTAAGTATTATAGAAATCTGCGCCAATAAACAATTAAAAGAGCTATGTTTCAAACATCATCCAAGTAGTTCTAACATCTACTTAGAGATGGCTGTTGTGGTATGTCAAAGGAAAAATGCTTTTCTCAAAGAGCTATGTGCCTCCTTTTAGTCATTGAGCTAATAGCTAATGTGGTTTGACGAATCGTTAAGAGCATATTTTCTTCTGTTATTGAGTTTGAGTGGAATGTGGAGGGAGCGATTACTTCATTTGAATCGGGACACGTAGGCTGTAAAATATTTTAATACATAAAAAGAGCGTGAATGTTAAATCGCATCAAACTAGAAGTGATTGTGTGATCCTAGAAAAAACTTTAACCTACCCATGTAAGTTTAAATGTGTTCAAATAATTTGTACCTTCATATTTGGCATTCGTATTCTAAACTATGTCGGTTCTTCCATTCAAGAAGCAAGACAATCCAGACCGTTTAAGATATTGAAAATGGGACGACTTTTTCTATGCATTGAAGAAGGCGCATCAGCGTCACAGAACACTTCCTAATTGCAAATTTCTAGCGCTACATGGACTCATGAGAATACAGCACATGTCGTAGTTAAAATAAACGAAACAGAATACCTGTCGTAATAAAATAAAATTTCAACGAAGTAACTGATTCTAAACCTACGGTGTGCTTTAATCAGGTATCACGCTGGAAGACACTGTCATGACAGAAATGTAGCTGTTCCTGCAAGAGTCAGTTCGTCTGTGAAAATGAAAATGAAAATGGTACCATATATATTTAACAAGAGAATAGAAAAAAATTGTCAACATTGTAAATTAAATTTAAAATCCTTCATGGTATATCAGTCAGCTGAGATAGTGATATTTGATGTTCAAAATTTAATAACCACTTTGTCTTCAAATTTAAGACATTGTAATGCGCGTAGATCATCAAATTAAAGATGGACTTAGCTTCTTTGGTCAAGAAACTAGAATGAACATACAATAGCTTCTTTCAAATTGATTTTCAAAAATATTTGTGAGCTTAATGATTCCTAAAAATTTTGCAAAATTATATGCATCTAATATAAATTTTATGACAGTGTACTTATAAGTTTGTTGATAATTTTATTTTACAGAATTACAAATTCATAATCTTATTGACTTTAAAAAACTTTGAAGGACCTCAGTTGTGTGCAATACACTTCGTCAAACGTCGTTTAGACATCTTTAATTTCCGTCATTTTCTTCAGTCATTGAATCAGCCTCAGTAAAACTGCCAGTGTTGTGAAAACGATTTTAAACTTTTAATGAGAATAACTGCAAATGAAATATTTATGGCGATGAATTGCCATTTCTTAATATTAACTCTCCAGTAGTCGCAATCTAGCTTCAACCTTAAGGTTTCTTAATGTTAATGAAAAGCATTTATCTATTACCGCTGCCACTTCCGTGTATTCATATAAAAGTAATGAGTTTTCATAATTATACATAAATATATGTTTATCAAATTGAAGCTAAATTCTAGTGTTCTACGTATTGTAAACATGCATAAAATATAATTCTCTATTATTCTACTAGCAGTGTAAAGGCATAAGCACACACTTTATAAGTCATAAAAACAAAATTGATTTTTTTCAAGTAATTATTAACTTCGTAAATAAAATTGTTTTCATGAATTAAAAAACTACCGAATAATTTAAGCAAATAGTAATATTTGGAACTGAACGTTTGAAAAAAAGATCGTAGTAAGAGGACATTCAACGTTCATTCGTGTGTGAGGCGTACACTCTTTACACATAGTGAGACCTTATGAACGTTAACGACGAAAATTAACGACGAATAAACGAATTAAACGATTAAATTCGATACAAACGTTTAAGGTAAAATCTTTTTGCTGCACAACTGTTCTAAAAAATTAGAGACCAACCGAGCATCCAAAAGAATAAATATACTTCGTTATTTTGCCTATCACTACCAATGTTGAAAGGTAATAATTAACTTTTGATTGATGCAAATGGCATGGTGACGCTTTACTTTAAACATTTATTGACGTAACTAGTACTTGAACTGAGTCTTTATCATACGAATGAAATGTTTGCATTTTGAAATGAGTAAGCCAAATACACTTTCGTACGAGTTGCGCATACTATTTTTTTAGTATGAATTCATCGAATCTTACAAATACTTTGTCTTGGGATCATTCTCAATATGCAAAGTGTTAGCTATGTTGAGTCATAACGCGCCAGTGTTTTCTTTCGAATGTAATTCTCCGTTGTTTAATAGGACGATTCTTTGCGGTATGCGTAGGGAAAAGTGCTTAATGGTATCGCAAAGTAACATTTTACAACCAATAAACAGTGAAAGCAAAGATTAAGTTCCATGCATGAGCAGTGAAAAAAATTATTATTATTATTGTTATTGTAATTATTGTTATTATTATTATTGTTATTATTGTTGTTATTGTTATTGTTATTATTTTTATTATAGTTATTATTTTGTATTCCAGCATTATAAGCGACATTTATAGCTACAAGAAATCGTTCATAAAAACACATCTTAGGGTACAAAATTATACCGTATTGACCGTTAATGGGACGAATAATTGCGTCATCATGCACTGAGCCAATCGCAGCGAGGAAATCGTGGGGAGGTAGCACTGAACGAATAAGTCGACTACTGTTTACCCGCAATGTAACTATTAAGTTGTTTCCTAAAATTAACTTTGCTTCTCTTATAAATTTATAATGCTGTTGTACAAAAAATAGCGTATGCAACTAGTTTATAATGTTGCTTTATTGCACACGTACACGAAAAAAATGAACCGTTACAGTATACCAGATCCATGATACTGTATCAAGGAAACTTTTTACAGGATCATGAATGTGGTATACTTTTTTTTCAGTGTACGAATTTGAAAAATGGCTTCTAACGGCGATTGTATTAAAAAAATGTACTCAGACAAATAAATCTTAACATTATAATCTAGTTTCATAAACTACAATTACCAAATTCGTTTTGACTGTTGCAGGGATTCCAGGGGTGCTTAGGCGTGCTCTTATGAGGTTTGTTAATTACTTGGTAGTCTTGTATCAATATCAATGTTTTGAAACTAGCAAATTGTGGGGAAGATACAGTTCATTCATTATCACTCTTGTTTTTCAGATCGCACGGCGATAAAGCATCACGTCGGGTAAGGGAGAATGGAGGAATGAGAAGAGAACACCCGAACATCGGTAACGACAATCGACCAGGCAGTTTCCTGTGCACGTTCGTGCTAAGGAAGAATATTCACAACATTGAATGATAACTCTTCCAGATTGTGTTGAACAGTAAAAAAACATTCATGACCATCTCTAAAACGTTTAAACTTCGACATTGCCAGGCTATTTTTATTTCCAAGGTTGAAGTACTTTTTGACAGGGGTGCAGTCATATTCATGACTAGAACATGAACACATGAACAAGCAGTATTATGAAAAAAACTGTTTAAAACACAATTCAATTTTCAAAGAACTTAATTTAGATACTAAAAATAATTAGTTTAATTTCGTTAAAATCTAAAATATTTTTCTTCATTTTTGTTAATAATACTCAGTTTCTTCTGGACGCCAGAAAAATGACTGATATATGGTAGAAACGTATTTAGACCTTGAAAATAAAAATAACATAATATATCGTAGTTGATTTGCTTTGGTGAACTTTAATCTTTGGAAACGTTAAACAACTCACACTATTCACATTTTTATGTGTATGAATGTATGCATGCTACCATTGTGAAACACTCACGTATTAGAAATCTGTCGCTAACAGTTTTTGGAAATGTGTATAATTGAAAATGTTTGTCCTTAAAGCCCGTAACTGTCCTATTTATTGTATTTAACAATTTTTAATGTAAATTGAAATAATTTGTATGTTATATTAACTTACAATGTATCCACTTATTTAAACTTTAGGAAGCTCTCAATATTAAAAATTTTGTGATATGCTCTAAAAGTACATGAACGTGTTTACCTTTTGAAATAGCATGCATTTCTGCTCAAAGTCAATTATTGTGTATGGTAATTGTAACAGGGAATATAGCTGCAGTTCGAAGATAACAAGAAACTGAGATGAAATGAAAAGAGATGAACTGAGATTAGAAATGAAATGCGACGTGATGTACACAATGTAAATTTTAGATATGAAATAAAATCCAGTCCGAACTAGAATACGTTATTGGCATATACTTTTCTGATATCAATTGATCCAACAATCCACTAGCATCCTTTATCGTACAAGCGCAACTAATAATATATCAATAGCAAAATATACATAAAAAATATGCTTGTTATTTTTTGAGCCTACAAAGTAATAATTAGTATATAAAGCAAATAATTATTTATTAAATTTTAAGTGGTAACGATTTGTCAACAAACCCGGTTACAGAAAAATTACCCAGGCATTAACAATTTTTTCCATAATGAAAGTAACAACACAAAGTAACACAATCATAATTTGTTAAGTTCTAATAATATGTTTTTGAATTTACATGTACTGATTTTTTGAACATACTTGAACTTTATTGAAAGTATTTAATCACAAAGACGAGTATCTGTTTCGATGCAAGTAAAGTAGTTGGCAAACAGTGCAATTTTATATAAGAATATAATATACTGGTTTCGGTAACCTGATATTTGAATCCTTGTTTTTAATTTGAATTTAACGGTATCTTTAGTGTAGTATATTAAAATAAAGCAAGAGGTTTGCATTCAACATTAAGATGGACTTTTACAAAGTACGGACGGAAAAGCTGTCCTATGTTGATAATATTAGTTTCACATATCGTAGGTGCCCAAGAAAAGGGACACAACCTCAAAATTTTCATTTAGAGATCATCCGTTTTAATCAGAAAATAAAACATTATTTCACTATCAATAACAATGTATTTTACTCTAGATTTTTTACGCTATGTTTTGAATTATCTTAATGAAATTTTATACTTGTAAACAATACTATTGTCGAAATATTCATTCTCCTTTTAACCAAAAACTGACGATTTTAACATTCGTCACTTTTTTTGTGTACCGTCGATATTAGGTGAGTATGTGGTAAACCTCTTTTCCCTTCCCAAGGGATTTTTCCTGCTTCAGGGAATGCCAGGTTTCGACTATACACGCCGGGTACCTACTAGATCCCTCATGGGGACACATATCAACCTTATTATCAAAAAGAAAAATCATGTTTATTTTAACAAAACAGTGTTATATAATGAATTAGTTTACATTTGTTTGTATAAATTTTATAATACTCAATATGTTTGTAACAAATAATGTATTTCAGCTTCCGGGTCAATGACCCTCATCTCGATTAAGTTTTTGTCAAGTTTCCATGATCTATTGAGCAAATGTTGAGATGGCCCCTTGTTTTGCTTCTGGACGTAAATGTAGCTTTACTATGCGCACGTTTGGTTGAATTCTCTTTTTGCTTGTAATAGTAAGAGTAGAGGTAAGGGCGAATTGCTATTTTGTAAGCAATGCAGAAAAATGATACTTGCAATTCGTGTACCGATGCAAATAAGTTTTCTATAACTCCGAAACAAAAATGTATATTTTTTTCAAATATTGCTTATCTTGCGATTTTTAAAATTTATTTTTATTTATTTATGTTGAACTTTTACTCATATTTCAACTATTTATAGTTAAAATGACGGAATGGGATTCTGGAACTCAAGGAAACGTGCGCAGATAATCTTTTCCCCCCTACGTCACATACAGTTTTACTGTTTTTCTTTTTGACTGAATAAATCTACATCTAACCTTTACACTTGACATTGACCCACTTGTGGTCTCCTTGGTCTGTGGGGAAAAGACTCACATTGCCTTCAGTAAGCAGTAATTTAATAAATTACACTTTTTACTCGGTCCGAGTGGCGCAGGCAGTTGCGTAATCTACGCTGAGATGGCTGCAGGTTCGAATCATGCGTAGGCATGGACGTATTCCTATCACCTCATAATCATAATTGAAGGTTGGGCATTGGATACAGTCAATGTCTTGGTAATGGGAGTGTTTTAAAGTGGTTTGAATTAAATTGCACATGTAGGAGCGTTGTTATTGAGAGAGAAAGCAATTGCATACACAAGATACGATTTTTGATCGCACCTTGCGATTACTTGGCAACACAATCAAGGCGTATTTTTAGCTTAAGCTTGTGTAGACCACTTCTCAATTTTCAGCCTCAATAAGTAATATTCTATGTTTTAACGCGGGAGGAGGCGGCCATCTTCCCCGTTGGACGGCGAGATCTGGCGCCGACCTATCCGTTCGTTGGTTGGAGAGGATGTGGTAGACAGCTCCTCCATGTATCGGTGCGGCATTCAATTAAGGGCAAGGTACACGCGAACGTTTCGTCTCACCTACAGTATAGCATAGCTGTGCATTATTACTTCCGAAAGGAAATATGTATGAAAAAAATTTTCTCATCCTTAAAATATTTATGATTATTAATAGAGTGGGATCCATTATCATTTCATTTGAACTCAAACAAGAAGTCCCAGCATCGGTCTTGTTGATTGTTACAGTATACGTCTCCGTGCTGGTACCTCGAAATTCCCTCTCATAGGATCAGTAAATAAACATCCTGTTTTCTCAGTTCCGCTTCTGGCCAATATGCGATGAAAAAATTGCTTCAGAAACATTTCTTTT